TATATATATATAAATAACATTTTTACTTAAAATTTTAGTTTTAGTACTTTTAAGACTTCATTAAAATTTAAAAATAAAATAAGTTTTATTTTTAATTTAAATTTTAGTACTTTTAAGACTTCATTCAAATTAAAAATAAAATAAGTTTAGGTTCACGTTTTTCATCTAATATTTCTAATTAATTTAGCTTTTTAAATTTTATTTCAATTTTGAATAGCTTTTGTACTATTATTCAATGCCATATTGGTATTTATTAATATTTCATCATTAATATTCTTTTGTTTTAAATATTTCTATTAATCTTTAATTTATTTAATTTTAATTTTAGTTTTAGTAGTTTTAGCACTTTAACCTAGGCCTATATAATTTCTCATTTTTGTTTAAGTTTTTCATCTAATTTTTATATTTTATTTTACTTTCATCACCAAAAATGATTTTTAATTGCTTTAATGGTAACAGTTTACAATAAGGCCCCATTTGTTAACATTAGTTAATGCAAACTAACATTGAGCAATACATTTGTTACAGTATTTATTACTTTGTTAATGTTAGTTAATAAAAATACAACTGTTCATTGTTATTTCATGTCAGCTCAGGTCCAAGTTTATTAGTCATGTGCACAAAAAGTCATGTAACAAATTGTGCATTGAAATGCTTGCAGTGAGGCACAGGTATTAAAATTAATAAAGTATTCATATAATAAGTATTTATAAGGTTTTTAAAAAATAAATAAGAGGTCTGTTAAGTAATATTAAAATATATAACTTTTACTTTTAATGATGTACTAGTAAATGTTTAAATGAAAATTTACTGAGATTAATAAATGCTTTAGAGGTATTTTTCATTGTTAGTTCACGTTAACTTATATAGTTAACATATGGAACCTTATATAGTTTCAACACCAGTAAGAGATCTTGATTGACTTCTCTCTGTCTGTCTCTCAGGCACTGAGACGTCCACTAACCTGCACCAGAAGCTGTACTATCACGTGTTGGGAACCCCTCAGTCTCAGGACGTCCTGTGTGCCGAATTTCCCGATCAGCCGAAATGGATGAGCGGTGTTGAGGTAAGAAACACACACACAGATGGTGCTTCATTTCTGGTTGTGTTATGAGGTGAATGACGTGTGTGTGTGTTTTCAGGTGTCTGATGACGGCCGTTATGTGCTGTTGTCCATTCGAGAGGGCTGTGACCCCGTCAACAGACTGTGGTACTGTGACCTGAACGCCGTGCCGCAGGGAATCACTGGTACAGACGCACAGAAACATTATTATTCAGATGAAAATGCTTGCTTTCTGCTGACAGGATCTCATGTATATCTTAATGATGACAGGTTTGTTGCCATGGGTGAAGCTGATCGATAACTTCGATGCGGAGTACGAATACGTCACGAATGAAGAAACCGTTTTCACTTTCAAAACCAACCTAGACGCTCCTCAGTATCGACTCATTAACATCGACTTTGCCCAGCCGTCCATCATCAGCCAATGGAAAGAGCTCATTCCCCAACACGACAAAGATGTTATCGGTGAGCAGAGATGCTGTTTTAATGAGATCACGTCAAATCAAAGTTCACTGTATTTACTTTCTCAATGAATGTCCCTGGTCTTATTGTGCCTAATTCATCTGCAAGTGATTGTAAGAAAAAAAATCTATATTTTCATGATCTCATAATGTTATTACTTTTTCCCTTTTACTTTTCCCACAGAAATATGTCACATTATGGAATTTGAATGTGTTGCAAATGAAGTTTTTATTTTTTTTATTCAGTTTAATTTATTTCAATTTGTTGATTTAAAAAGCATAACATAAGATTTTTATTATTTCATTTACGATATTTTACAAAATTTGACAATTAAAAAAAAAAAATGTTTTGGGAAAGAAGTCTTGTATACTCACCAAGGATGCATTTATTTGATTAAAAATCCAGTAAAACAGTAATATTGTGAAATATTATTACAATTTAAAATAACTGTTTTCTATTGTAATATGTTCCAAAATGTGATTTATTCCTGTGATCAAAGCTGAATTTTCAGCATCATTACTCCAGTCTTCAGTGTCACATGATCCTTCAGAAATCATTCTGATATGCTGATTTGCTGCTCACTGGTTCTCAGTTATTAATAATGGTTCTTTTTAATATCAGTGTTTTCACAATTCTTTGATTACTGCAAAAATTCAGCTTTAATTTGAAATAGAAATCATTTGTAATGTCTTTAGTCTCCAGTAATATTCTTCAAAATGAGATACTAGTAATGCGTTACTGCCGTGGATATTCCAAATTATAGCAATCAAAACATCTCAGCTGGAAAAACGCTGTGCCACCAAAGCGTTTTCAGAAGAGCGCCTGACATTTTTCAGTTGGCTAAAAACGCTTTGGTGGACACGTTATTGAATATTTATTGTTAGGCATATGGCCTATTAATCTTTTTTGCATTTATGCAATATACTGGAGCCAAACCTGAGAAAGTAGACCAGAATATTCCACTGCGTTCCTGGACACGCAATTTGCGTAGCTGTAATTCATAGGCGGGGATTATGCTAATTGTGAATGAGCGTTCATGAGCGCCCTATTTACGAATCACTGGAATTCATTAAGATACGCATGTTTAACTATCAAATCAGAAGTTTACGAAGCGTATGTGAATCCGGAGGAGAGTTTTCGGGAAGGTCCGTTTTACGCGCAAATTACTCAGAATGTACTCCTATACTTACGAATGTTTCATGAATGAGGCCCATTGCAACCATTATTTTTTGAAGACACTGAAAACACTGCGAGCGTCACGCACGCTTCAGTATGTGTGTAGTAAACAAAACCACGCGTCTGTGCCATTCATTCGTTCAACCGCAGAACATGCAGGATTCATATTCAAATAGTATTTTTGTGGCTTAATATTCACAGGCACTAGTCTATGTCGCGTTTTGTTCCAAGTGTACTGACCTACTCTTGATTTATCCATCCAAAATTTGGCAAATTCCATGACATTCCACGTTAAATAGTAGGCTGAATTCCGCTTTTATGATAGTAGGCTAAATTCGTTTTCTGCATCGCGGAATTGATCACTGTTTGTAAAGAAATGTAAAGTAAATATGTGTAAATATATCAGTATTTCCCCAAAATATGCCCACTTCTGGACGAAAAGCCATAATGGATGTTATTCAGTAACGTTTGCACGTGACTGCCTGAGTTTTGTTGACAGCCAGAGGTGGCAGAAAATTTTATGGAGGCGGCCGCCTAATAATTTTCTATGCAGAAAAA